ATCATACATGGCAGGAACACATACAATGACATATATATCCACACCAGACACTGTATACACAAGACACACCTTGCTATACACAGAATAGGCATCATCAGCTTATTTTTTCCCACCAGGTCACAAGTTGCCAGCCCGCCCCGCTAACACACACACACACACACACAAACATTGCTACACATTCACAATACTACACACACACACAGCCATTTCCCCTTCCAAATGTTTTTTTCCTATATTGTCTCTTACTGTGATGTTACATAACAGGTGGTGGCATTGTGCCCTGTTATGTCACTCATATATAATTATATAAATTAGCAAGTTCGATATTTTTTTTCTAAGAAAGGTGGTCACCTTAGCCCTACTTTCTTGGCAAAGTCTTGATTATCTCCACAAAGGAGCAACTGTAGCTAGACCAGCGCAGCATAGGAGTAAAGGCAAGTGAACTTCAAACCCTGACACTACATGGTTACTTTTAAGCTGACCTACTACTGGTTAGTCTAATGCAGTGATTCTTGAGCTTTTTTAGGCAGTCGCCCAAATTATGTATGTGGCATTAGCTTGGCAGCTGTAGCAGCCATTTTAGAATTGTACAGTTTCTGTTATCTGCAGCAACCTAAAGCCCAACTCCCGATCCTGCCATACTGATTAAACGCGCTGTCTTTATCCCTGGCTGGAGCGAAGGATTCTAGATGTGGCCAGTAATTAGACTAATATCCCATGTACAACATAATCACGAAGAACAACTGGTCTGAACGGTAGATGAAAGAGTAAGACAGGAGGGGACAGGAAAGGGAGAAGGCTCAGTTCAGGAAAATTGTAGTTGGCCCTACAGGGTACGGCCTCAACGTATTTAGAATGAAATCACAATCACACAATGAAGTCCCTTTTTGTAATCCTTTTATTTTCCATAATTCTCAGTATACTCTCCGGTATAAATCATGTATACTCGACTCTCTTTACTCTAAAGATATTCAATTGAGCCGGTAAGTTTGCACGCGGCCTCTGCAGTATGCACCAGATCCCCTCGGCTGGTAGCATAGGAATAGCTGCCTGGGTCATCAATAGACCAAGTGTCAAATTGATTACATACATCTGTCAATGAAATGTCACACATAAGAAGAGAGGAAGGGGATAGAGACAGAGAATAAATAACAGTGAGGTGTGTATTATGGGCAAAAAATGCCATTGATGGTTTTTGGAGAGTCATAAACCATAAGTCTGAAAGTCAAGTACTTCATAGAGGTCTCGGGATACTAAAATGGCGTACATTCCCATAACACACATTTCTCTGGTTTTATTTCATTTTGCAGCAGTGGGAGTGGCAGACATTGTTCTCTGCAATTTGAAATACTGTGGAATAATGAAACTTGCACACAGGCAGAAGTTTCTGTTTATTGATATACCGGGTGGTACCGATTACAGTGAGACAATGTTTCTCTCCCCTGTCACTCTTCCAACATGTAAGTATAGTAAGAAGCAGATAATAAATGGCAGTAGCTACAAACAGAGGCTGTTGGATGAGAACTTAACTCCTATAAACCTTAGGAAACACAAAGATATATAGACTGTTCTATACATACACATACAGCAGGCAGAGCTGATTATGCTAAGTTTAGTTTGCTTTAAATGAACAAGACTAAGTAAGGTCATTAGTGCGTGATATTCGCCAATCCCACAGACCAGCACTGTAAGCAAGAGACAATATGTGTCAGCAAGACAGCAATCAGGCAGAAAATTCCAACAGAATGGAATGTGCTAATCACTGTATATTCACAGAGTAAACTAGAGAAGCCATGTGCGTTTCAGTCTAAAACAGAAACAAAATATAGGCAGAGACAGGTAGGTAAAACACATTATATGATTACCAGCTACCAAATTATTGTCCTCCATTGACTTTGAATAGATTTTTTCTGGTAAGGCTCTTCAGAAGGACATTGGAGGAATTCACCGCAATCTCCATTGCGACAGAAAGACAAGAGTAGTTGGTGTATAAATCATAGGAATCCTCTGTCACACAGATATAAATGATGAGGGTCCTCCAATATCCTGCTGAGTGCAGGAGAGTTGCTTTAAAGGTACACTATAGTCACCCAGACCACTTCAGCTCAATAAAGTGGTCTGGGTGCCAGGTCCCTCAGGTTTTAACCCTTTAGATGTAAACATAGTTTCAGATAAACTGCTATGTTTACATAGCAGGGTTAATCCAACCTCAAGTGGCTGTCTTCATGACAGCCGCTAAAAGCGCACCTGCAACGCAGGATGCGAAATTCGCATCCACTGTGCAGAACGTCCATAGGAGAAATGCTTTCCTATGGACGGTTTGAATGCGCGCCAGGCACTTGCCGCGCATCTGCATTCCGCTCCACTCGGGAGCCGACGTCGGCTGGGAAGGAGAGGTCACCAGCGCCGAGGGAGCCCTGTGCTGAATTAAGGTAAGTTGCGGAAGGGGTTTTAACCCCTTCAGTGCCATGGGAGGGGGACCCTGAGGGTGGGGGCACTATAGTGTCAGGAAAACGGGTTTGTTTTCCTGACACTATAGTGATCCTTTAATTCTCGAATAACACTGATAGTAATCAATAAACTTTTTGCACAGATAAATGCATTAAAAAGTGATGAAATGGTCTTTTTTCCACTTTTTTTGCTCAAGCACTTAATAACAGACTGGAGCCGAGCATTAGCATATTCTCATCTGTGTCTTTTCTGGTCACTGACCATGATCTGAATTCTGTATGAGATCTACCTGGGTGAGAACAACTTTTGGCTTTTAGCCACTGAAAACCTAAAGCCACATTATTTAGAAATATCAAGGATCAGGTGAGACCAACCCCCCCCCCAGCTTCCATTCTCTCAGTGTCCATTTCAACCAAAGTATATTTTAAAAAAACTCTTACAGATAAATCAGGACACTTGTTTTATATAAATTGCTTGATGAGAAACTATTTACGTGCCTTTTTCGTGACCTTACAAGTTCAGACTGTTATGCAATCTAATTTATAAAACATTTATAGCATTTTAATCGCTCATTATAGTTTTAATGTGAAGCTCTTTCATATTCTTTATGTTTATACGTGTTAAATTTGTTTTTTGTGTATGGAACTCTACGATGCTAATAAACACACACCATTTGATTACAGTGACTTTTATGGCTATAAGATTATGTTTGCAATATGGATAAAGGAATTGGATAGGCCCCTGCTCAAACAAGCATAACGTCCAAAGGGGTTCAGGTTATAATTACATAAAAGGTAAAGTACATTCTATCTACAGTGAAAATGTATTGTAAGTTATATTTACAATATAAAAATAAACTTAAAGGGACACTATAGTCACCAGAACAACTACACCTTATTGAATTTGTTCTGGTGAATAGAATCATTACCTTTAGGCTTTTTGCTGTAAACACTGTCTTTTCAGAGAAAATGCAGTGTTTACATTACAGCCTAGTGATAACTTCACTGGCCACTCCTCGGATAGCGGTTAGAGAGCCTTCCTGGGTCATGGCTGCCTAAAATGCATCCAAACATTCAGTGTCTCCTCCCTCTGCATGCAGACACTGAACTTTCCTCATAGAGATTAATTGATTCAATTAATCTCTATGAGGAGATGCTGATTGGCCAGGACTGTGTTTGAATTGTGCTGGCTCTGCCCCTGATCTTCCTCCTTGTCAGTCTCAGCCAATCCTAAGGGGAAGCATTGTGATTGGATCAGGCCATCACTTCTGATGATGTCAACAGACAGCTTGTTTTTCTGAGGCAAATAGCATGCAGATTTACAGCTTCAGGCTTGAATACAGTAAGAATTTGCTATATTTATGGAGGCATGAGGGGCCTAGGGGTACTAGATTGTGGTTTTAACACTATAGGATCAGTAATACAGGTTTGTGTTCCTGACCATAGTGATCCTTTAAAAAAACAAAAACAAAAAAAAAACACACCTACAAACATTTGACGAACCGTTTAGATAAAAAATGAGAACACTGAGGAGAGATGTTCATTAACAGATTAATTAATATATATTTATTTCCAAAGAAGCATGTATAGTAGTTTTTTGTTTGTTTGATAGTTTTTGTAAAGAATGGCGACAGGTCAACAACCAATCACCCCTCTGTAACATATACCATAGTGGCCTTCCGTGCCAGGGAACTAAACTTATAGAAACACTAATGGTTTGGCACTGTCCGGGTTTTTTTTAATTCTTTTTTTTGGTGGGTGGGGGGGGGAGGGCAGTGTCAAGGGAAGGAGAATGTTATATATTGTTGTTCCTTTGTTCTCCTTTCTCTTTCTGAATTATGGATAATAAACCAATAAACCAATGTAAACTGTACATCAGGGGTGCCCCAGCTGTTGTGGATCTACAATACGAAAGATGCTTTGCATGGTTTTCTTTTCAGAATGCTTTATAATGGCAAGGCACCATGAAAACTGTAGTTTTCAAACGTATGGGGACCTACATTTTGGGCACCCCTGCTGTACATAGACAACACTGTATTATTACCCAGGCCTAAACCCTGTGGGGGTTTAAATGTACGCCATCCAGTTTGCTCATTTATGAATTTAAAAAAAGATTAAATAATAATAATAATGTTAAACCGAGAAGGTATTGTGACTGGAGGAGAGTATAATGGAACGGGAAAGGAGTTCAGTTGGAAAAATGCAGCCCTAAAGAAGTCTTAAAGGTGAGTCATACTTATGGGCAGAAGACAGGAGCACCTTATTGGCAGAGCAGAGTGGCTGCAATAGGACACACTTATTATTGAGGATATATAGATTGGGTCGTTACTTTGCCGAGCATTATAGACAAGTAGTACTATTTTAAACTGAACACTAAAATGTATGTCATCAAGGACTGAGGAGGGTGAGAGGTTGGAGACCAGGAAAGTAAAGAAAAACAACCACTTGTCTCTGCCAATTAGGAGTTAAATCACTTTGTTTATAGAGCCCTAGTCACACCTCCCTGCATGTGACCTACACAGTCTCCCTAAACTGGGGATAGGCAACTTTCGGCACTCCAGATGTTGTGGACTACATCCCCCATAATGCTGGCAAAGCATCATGGGGGGTGTAGTCCAAAACATCTGGAGTGCCGAATGTTGCCTACGCCTGCTACTCTATTGCAAAGTCTGTTTAATTTTTAAACAAATGTTTAATGTCTCATCTCTTGCTCTGTTAATAGCCTTCTAGACATTGCAGGAACTTACTATGTGTGATTCAAGTAAAAAAACATGATTCAAAAAGTGCACACATTGTGCGTTCATATTTAAATCAAAATGAAACCATTTTTGTTCACCATAGGTTGTGTGAGTCACAACAAAGAAGGTGGGGCTAGGGCTGTATAAGCAGAAACAAAAGTGATTTAACTCCTAAATGGCAGAGAACTGATCAATGAGATTGCAGGGGGCATCATCTATACACCATAGACGCTTCATTAAGCTAAAGTTGTGCTTAAGTGGCCTTTTAATGAGCTGTAGTTATGGAACTGGGAGTGTTCCTTTACGACAGGTAGTAGAATTTAGAATAGATTGTAAATAGACCATCTGGACAGGAGTAGAACCAATGAAGAACAAACTCAGAGTCACTGAAGTATCCCAAGGTCTTTCTGTAATCAGTTCATGAAAAAAAATCAATAGACTGTACCATATAAAAAGAAAACAGTTACTAGATACCAGTCCACAATGGAAAATTTTATATACATTTGCTGCTGTTCCTTTCGTCATCACAGGCAAGCGGACGAGATAAAAGTCCCACTAACTTTATCAAAAAGTGGAAGAATTGCTACAAAACACAATAATGCTCTAGTTAAGCCTCGACCACCGTATCAGTGATCTAGTGATATTTCCAGCACTTCAGAATTCTACTGTAAGGTTATTTGGTGGTTTAATATATTCATTGCATATTACCCACGTTTTCTATCCCCCCTCTAACCATATGACACTATAGTTACTCCCCAATAATGTAGTACTTTATAAACCCACTACATCACACAGTGAGCAGTATCTTTCCTGTATTGCAGCTATGCAGTTTATTGATTGTTTCAGTGAATTGAGGATTTTTAGCCTGCACTGCAGTATCTCTGCAAGATTATTTGTTGGTTTAAAATGTTTACTGCATATGACCAGTGTATTTTCCTCTTTCTGCCTATGTGACACCATAGTCACGTCCTGGTGCTGCTTTATAAATCAGTTAGATGCAGTTATGTGCAGCAGTTTGTGGAACTAAGGCAGCAATGGACAGGAACACATGCCTTTGTAATTATTATTTCATGGTGCCTTTTCTATGTTGAAATAACCAGACTTGCAACCAACAGAGAGCAAGTTAAAGGAACACTATAGTGTCAAATACAAGCATGTATTCCAGACACTATAGTTTCAGTGTTTCCCAACCCAGTCCTCAAGGCACACCTACCAGTCCAGGATTTAGGGATTACCCAGTTGTGTCTAAGGTGTTTTTTTTCTTCTTTGTAAAAACACCTTAGACACACCCTGTAATCCCTAAATCCTGGACTGGTAGGTGTGCCTTGAGGACTGGGTTGGGAAACACTGGTTTAGATGTCTGGCCCCCCTTAGCTCGTTAGAAAGGGTTAAAACCTTTCTCCTGTCCACACGGGTCAGATCACGGCTCGCTCCGTCCCCGCTCCCCTTGGCTGAGATCATCAAACCTTTTGATCTCAGCCACTTCAATGCTTTTCATAGGAAAGCATTGGGAGGCTACTGCGCATGATCGACAAAACACCCTCTGTACCAATGAGCATCTCCTCATAAAGATGCATTGAATCACACTTTGCAGCACTGACACAGGAAGCACCTCTAATGGCCAACGTCTGAGTGACTGCCACTAGAGGTGTTACTAGGCAGCAATGTTAACACTGCCTTTTCTCTGAACCTACGGACCATATAAAAAACGTATTAGGAAACCGTTAAACTGAATTATAAAGCACCGACATATTCCACAGCACTGTACAATGTGTTCATTTTAAAAGCAGTTTGAGTTACAGGAACAAATGTTGGTCAGGGCATCAGCAGTACCCTCCCATGTCAGGCCACCTCAGTAACTTTAATTTACTGTTCCGCTATTTGTCTCTGTGATTATTTCCTTCTTACAGATTCCTCTCGCATGGCAGCAGACTTTGATTGTTTATGTGCAATGTAAATTCATAGATGGAGTTATTACAAGACTAAAAGGTCATCTTAAACCTTTAAAAATAATGGTCCTACCCAACATCACAGATAATTAGTGTCTCTGCTTTATCTTTCCCGTGATTTCATTGTCTTACAGTCAGAATTTAAGGTGACCGACCAGAGCAACCCAAAAAGGAAAAAAAAGAAAACACAAGCGATAACCATTTGCAAAGCCAGAAGGCTCGTTCACCCACTCACCACATAATTCAATGACATGGTCTTTGGAACATCCATGTAATGAACGAAGTCACAAGGCGAAGATGCCAGGAAATAGCCTAGAACTGGTAGTCTCCTGATCTCTTAAAAATACATTTTACAAATAGATGTAAGGAACCAAGACTACTCTGGAAATTACACCGTTCAATAAAACACTGCAAAATATCATCTATAACTTGTGTTAATATTTTTTTTCATGAGATGCTCTGCCTTCTTTTAAATTAATATTTAAGATTTAGCATATTACATCACAGTTCAATTCAAGCACGGCCAATACTGCAAATAAGGAAGAGAGAAAATAAAATCATTTTGTAGAACGCCTAACCAGAAGTTGTTACACTGCATACATGATAAGAATTTCATTCAGTCTTTAATCACACAATTCACATGTTTAATCCGGCCTTCTGAAATCCAGCTACAGATAGAACGCTCTTTTGGCAGAGCAGTCTGGTGATGAATTCTATTGCTGCGCAGGATATTAGAATGCCCAAGGCAGCACTTAGCACTGGAAGACAAGGACGCTATGTTAACTAGATTCCACCATTTGTGTGCACCTTACCATTGAAAAAGGGCTAATGTGCGTTTACAGTCCTTTTTCGATTTCATAAAACCAGTAATTCTTTACAAAAAGAGCACTGAATAATGTGCACGGCAGTCTAGCATTGAAAGGGTTTCTGTGTGTTTCTAGCTATACCAGTCCCAAAGGTGTTACATACATTGTGGCTCCATTTAATGAACAGACTTACTGGTTTACTATACTCTGGAGACTGCAGTCTGATTTATTAAGAAGGAGGGAGGGCGAAAAAATAAGACAAGGTGACATTTATTTGTGAATCACCTAGGTGATGTCATAAAACCAGTGTCTGATAATACAGAAAGGTGTATGTGACATTAAAAGCATACAAATTGGACATGGGAAAAACAATGTTTTAGATCTATGGTTTATCCTAGCAATGGTTAATCTTTGTCACAACGGCTGACATGGACTACATTTCTAACAATGCTCAGCCAATATAATGGTGAATGATTCCGGATAGAGCAATAAGTTTAGCTTTAACAAAGAGTATTTTATAATTCATGGATTAACTGCTCCCATCATGCAAGTCTCTAGTTATGGAATCACAATTCTGTGACGTTCAGCCAGCCACACACACTCCTTTTTCTTTCAAAATGAGATGTGCAGCTACTCTATTTGTGCAGAAGTCTTGCTGAGCTGCTGCACATGCAGCTATCCAATCATATTTTTCTCAATGAGCTGTATTACAGCTTATCGAGAAGTCTGGTGCTCTGCGCAAGCATCTGCCTTTTAGTTCAGCTCCACAAAGATTAAAGGGACACAGCTAATTGAAGTAGTCTGGGTGCTGTAAACCCTTTTGCACCTAGTGCAATGTAAAACATTGCAGTTCCAGAGAACTGCAATATTTACATTGCAGCTCTAGGTCTACCAGGGGGCGCTTCCGGAATCCAAACTGATTTTTGGTCCGTTATCTGACGCTGGACGTCCTCACGGACCTCCAGCGTCAGGTTTTCTCCATAGGAAAGCATTGAATAATGCTTTCCTATGGGGAGGTCTAATGCGCGCATGCGCGTTAGGTCTCCCCCGCCGGCTGATGTCGGCAGGGGAGGAGTGTGGGTGGAGCCTCACCCAGTGCTGAGGGACATTGGCGCTGGATTCAGGTAAGTAGCTAGAGGGGTTTCAACGCCTTCAGCCCCGCGGGAGGGGGGCGCGAGGGACGGGAGACCTATTAAACCTATAGTGCCAGGAAAACAGCTTTGTTTTCCTGGCACTACAGGATACCTTTAAAACTACCAGGAAGAAAATATGTGCATCAGGGTATACGAATAAAAGTGCCAATTTCTAATGAAAACTGCACTTTTAAAAAAAAAAAAAAACAAGTTGAACTGCTTATTGTGTGTTACTTTAAGCTACACACAGAAAAAGGCACTGCAGTGGTTATGGTGCCAGGAGTGCTCTGGTGTACCGCCAACGTAAGTAGTCTAAACATTTTAGAGTGGTTTAACTTTTTACCTAGGGTCTGCCAGTTGCCGCTCCCCTCCTCTCTGTAGCCTCCATGAGAGCTAGAAGCTCCTGTTAGCTCTCCTGAACTAAGGCCTGCTAGTCCTGTTGTTCTTGAGGTTGCACAGAGTTTGGGAGCGACACCCGGCAAACCATAGGTAAGAGATCAGACCCTTCATAACAAAAATAAAAAAAAATTCACACATTTTTCAAGTGTGGTCTGCTGGCCATAGGATGCAAGGGAAAGTATGAAAGCTCCACCTTCTGTCAACCACAGGCTCGTCCATAAGGCAAAGTACTTCCTATTTTGTCACATGGTATCTTTGGATTGGAGTAGAAATTCAATGAAATTCCTATGTAGTCAGGATCGGTATTTTATAAAGATGATATCTTTGTGAAACACTGAAAAGTGACAAATTTACTTTAAATATAGAAAACTATAATTCTATATCCTTCAACTATATGTATCCATCATAGCTTCATATCAATCACGGTTATAAGGTCTGCCCTTTGCACCTGCCAAGTGACACACAAAAAGCATACAGGAAAGAGAAGAAATGAAACCATATTTATTTTTGCAGTGTTTGCCCTGGCTTTTCCTTGCCTGAACTGGATTATGATGTCATTTGTTAACTCTTTAACATAAATTTAAAAGAACAACACAGGTTAATGATAATT